TGACTTTATTTGTGAAAAACATGACTTTTTAATGCAATTGGTTCAATATGATGTTATATACATCATATTTGATTATTGGAGAATAGTATGTATGATATTTTCCAAGTAATGCGTCTGACATAAGTCAGCTGAACGCTTTTTTATGCCTTGCTCTTCAGGCAATGAGAATACCCTATCGCCTTGAATGCGCCTCATGGCATTGACTAACTTCACTAAAACCCGTACAATATGAGTTTACATTCACACTATAAAATGAGAAAGTATTGAAGACCATGTAGTTATCTTTATACTTCATGTATTTTCCTCAAATATTATTTAAATAATGTGCTCAGACACAAATGTGATTTAAATTACTATTAATATTACATTACAACCACTATTTTTTAAAAGTGAAAATAATCATAATTACTAAAAACTATTTACTAATATCGTCAATTTAAATAATGTGTCACATTTTTATTCATCATTTAAATTCTACTCAAACATCTATTACAATTTTATCTTTATATATAAATATTTATATATATAAACTTCATATTGTACAATTGGCTTGGGGTAAATTAGCTTTAAATGATTCTGACATTAAATTTAAAGATACAGGTAACACAAGTTACATAATATTCCGTGAACTATGTAATTTGTATTTTTTACTTTTCCGTGAACTATTGAGTTAAGCTTATAATATGTGTCGCATGTCTTAATTAGTAGGGAATACCTAACGTAATATTGAGATTTGTCATTCTATTTATCATTAGAACAATATATTATTGGTGTATACAAAAAATGATCACTTTTTTTTTTTTACTGAAATCGGCTTAGATAAATAATCAATAAAAGTTTAGAGTATGAGTCAACTGACAAAAAGAAAACCGATAACCGTCATCCCTCGAACCAGACTCGAAATTAATCGACGTAGCAATATAATTCGCTGATCCATAACCGGGAAACAAAAAGCCTAATCCGGTTACCAAATTCCTCTCACCCCCCACATCCAAAACCAATGTCTTACAAACCAGAACAGGAAACCAGAAACAAATCCAAAACCAACCGAAAAAATTAACGAAATAGAAAACAAAACAGAATAAATTACATCCTTTTTGCCACCAGACAACTAGAACCAGTCTTCCAACTTTCAGCCTCACACCTTCAACCAGTGTATCCGGCGGGCTTAAGGAACCAAGCCCTCCTCCTCCCCCCCCCCCCCCCGTTTTTTGTCCCATCAGTGCCCATGTTGTCCTCCTCTAGTTCTTCCTCTGTCGGGACCTCCCAGATCTTCCTTCTTTTGGAGGCCTCTTCCTTTGGCACCTCACCTCCTTGTGTGAAACTTTGAGCAGATTCTGTCCTTGCCTCCTTCTCTGGGCCGACTCCTGATTTGCCAGAGCTCGATGAGCCCTCCAGGACCCAGCTTGCTCTCCTGTAGGGCTGATCTTTACCCCGCTACCTGTTCTAAGATGAGATCCAAATCTTTTTTCCAAAATCAAACCTTCTTCATAATTCAGAGGACAAAAATTATCTAAGTGACCAACCATACCACCGATAAAGCAAAAAGTGGGTAGTCTTTCATATTTAAAGTCCACCCAAAAACTTTTGCCATCTTTTTTCAAATTTGTCCCCTTCTTTAGGGATTTATCTATCTTCACGAGAACCCTAACTCGCATGTATGGCTCTAATTTTTCTTTTTTCTGATAATCATCATATTTGACAAACTCTCCTACAAAACTCCCAACACGTCTAGCAGTGCCTAGATTTACCAGACTGTAAGGAACATTATGAATCTGGACCCAAAATTCAGCCTCACTCAAAATGATTTTGTGTGGTATATCATGAGGAATAATCTCTTTAAGCAAAACCAAACTACGTTCATACTGCCACGGGCCCCCATCCAAAACACGTTTCATATCAAAACGATGATTAAAAGAAAACAAGTACCTCTTTTCCTCGATTCGCTTAACCGACATACCTTTCCCCGGCCTCCAGAGAGTAAGCATCTTTTCTTTAAGCTCCGCGAACCTGACCTTGCGGTCAGTCACTCAGTCAGCACTTGCCCGAGCACCGGGAAGCCCACCGCTGCTTCCTCCGCTGGAACGTCTTCAGCCTCCCCATCGTCAAAATTTATCTCTTCCTCTTCGCCTCCAATTGCCATCCGCTTATATCGATCAACAACGTTCTCCATGAAGATATGGAAGGCTTTGCCGGAACTCGAGTTCGATGAACCAGCCACACCGCCTGCTTTCGTCCAAATGACCTGGTTAAATAACCAACCTCACCGCCCCTGATACCAATCCGAGGCCACCGTTCTCCTAACCAACCATCTACGCCGCCCCCTCACCGCCTTCCTAACCAATAACACTCTCACTCCGAAAAACGAAGGCGGACAGTCCTAATCGTAGGGTTATCGGCCGATAACCCCAGAGAGAGAGAAAAAGTTTTTACTTGACGAAAAACGTAGTGAAAATATATAGTTAAAAAATGATCACTTCTTGAACACTAATCTGTGTATACAAACATTTTTTGACTTTTTTAAACAAGGTGTCTCTCTGTATACACAAACAAAATAGGGGCGTACGAAATGGGGGTGTACATAAAAGTGTACTTTTTTGTGTCATATTGCTACAGTGTTATAGTATCTTAAGTTTAATAAACCTTTTTAATTGAGTGAATTGGGTCATATTTTAAATAGTAGAGTTATTAAAGTTTTTTTGAATAGAAATTGCAAATTTACTTCTTATTTTCTTGTGAAAAACAGAGAGTCTATCTCTAACCCTACCCTAATGGCCGTTTCCGCTCTGTATAGGGGTTGAAAATTTCCGTTGTCCCTATCAATTACTGGAGCAACATATTATAGTGATTTTAAGTGTTCTAAAACTTGCGATTGCAACTACATCGGAGGAGATAACGTTGGCAGATGAAAGAGTTGCGTCTGAGAGTTTGTATCAGTGCTGGATCGTGAAGCCTTGGTCGGCCACTCCGACGGTGGTGGAGTTGGTATTCACCCATATTGCAAGAGTTCATCCACCTTCAGAACCACCTCCATACCAGGAAGAGTTTTGTGAAAACTTTTTATTTCAATATTATTTTCTCTTTAGTAGTACTGGTTTCTCTTTTAGTCCGAGTAGATTTGGGTTGAATGTATGGATTTTTGGAATTCTTTTGATAGACAGAGTTTTAGATCCATTCGTTTTAGGCTTAATTTTGCCTGTTTCAGGTTTAACGAGTCAAATTGCTTTGTATGAGGTGGCTGACTCTATGTCTACTACTGGGGTTCACGATTGGATCTGTAAAATGTGCCTGAAAGTTGTTTTGTACGCGTACTCGTTTTTTATATATATTAGTATCAAGAAATTATATAAAGCAACCTCCAGACATTTATGCCAAAACCGATTGTAAGCCCTATGAGTAGATATAAAATCAACCACCTCATACAAAACAACATGATTTGCTAGACACAAAAGCTTAAAATAACCAGAACTGAAACACTATCTATATCAAAAGTATTCTAGATACACTGTCATTTTGACTAAATTTTTATAGTTAGTTTAGAGTTTTTTTTTCAAAAAGATTATTAAAATAAAACTTATTTACACAAGTATGACTAATAATTACTACATATAATGTAATAATGACTAGTAACATTTTCGTAATGTTACTAGTAACAATAATGACTAGTAACATTTTCGTAAACCATCTTTATTATAGTCATAAATGTATAATTGTTTTTTAGTTTTGACTGATGTAGTATATGGTTTAGGTTGTTTTTATCCAGGTAAGGGTTATTTGTATTTTATTATATCCTTTTGTCCTATTCAAAGATTTTCACCTTTTTGTAGACATCTCAACTAAAGGTTTTCATTTTATATTTTAGGAAACATTTAACATTATTTTTCATTGTGAAGCAATTATCATTCTTAAATAACAATTAATCATAATATATTAAAAATAGGGAAAAATAATATAAATACCCCAAGCTTTGATGGAATGTGAAATAATTACCCCAAACTTGCTTATGTAATATATATACCTCGAACTTTATCTAAAAACTTATTTTCCCATCATGGTTGTGTTTTTAAGACTATAGACTTATTGAAATAATTACATAATTTAAAATACTCTAAGCTTTGTTAGGATGCAATTCACATTCTAAAATTTCATTTGTGAAATAAATAATATTACATCAGGTACAATTTATTTCCAATTGCATCCTCATAAATGTTTTTTGTATTTTATATTATGCACTTAACACCATACATCACATTTGTAAAAAAACATATGATCATGGTACTAACATAATTTTTTTTACATAAAGTTTGGGGTAAATATATTACATGTGCATGTTTGATGTGCTTATCTTACACCCCGTCAAAGTTTGAGATATTTAAATTATTTTTCTCTTAAAAATAACACATCTATAACATCACAATTATTATCATTGATAATCCAATATATTATACACTCATCAAAACTTTTCTCAAAATATACTCAAATTATCATATTTAATTATTGTTTAAATAATGATGTCATTTTGCAATGAGATCATTTGACCGAGACAAAGATAAGTTGTTCATAGTCTATCTTGATCTAACATGATGTGTTTAAATCAGATTTGACTTATTTAAATTTGATGTGTCCTGTTATGTTTTGTTTGAAAAAAGAATTTGTTTCAAATATGAGCAAAACATGGACAAAATACACAAATACTAGTAATAATCATTATTATTTGCAAAACAAATATTATTTGATTCTATTATTTCCAAAACGTCTCTAACTAGAAGCTAACGAAAATATACCAATTCTGATTATCTTACTATAATAAGCCCCTTTTGTATTTTATTACAAAATTGACCAATTAAAACTTAATAACAAGTTGAAATGGGAGACAATCAAACCAAAACTTTTGACTTCATCTCAATTATCAGCTAATTTACAAAACTGTTTGACATGTGTGACATGTACGGCTTATAATAATGTTCTTGGCTGCTTTTAGATGAGCGTAGTCTTGACTCCAACCACCTACCTCCTCCAGGCCCCAACCCCTCCACAGCACTCCAAGCCTTCAATCTCACACACGTTTGGCGTTCAAAGGTTGGCGTTTCCTTGGCATCATTTATATGGAATCAAGCTTTTTCTACTACCCTCAATTAATTCCTGGCCCTCCACCCTCCTCATAAACCCTCCATTACTACAAATTTCCACAGTAACTTTAAAGAACCCAAGTTTGAACTCAACTTTCCTTAATTTGGGGTGCTAGTGGGAGCAAACGTAGATTTTGCCTTTTCTTGGCTGATTTCAAGAATCCACTTTTTTGACCCAGAATAAGTAAGTTCCGGACTTGGCTCAAAGATTGCATCTTTTCCCTGAAAATTTCACTGGTTGAGTTATGGAGGGGGATAATAGTGGCGTTGAGTCCAAGTCAAAGATGGAAGACTATGAATTGCTCGGGCAGATTGGGAAAGGGGTTCATGGAACATCATTTCTCGTTCTTCACAAAGCTGAGGATAGGAAGTAAGAATCTTGCTCTTTTTTCATCTTTCCCATTTTGTTGCTGCAGTTGCACTTGGTATGAACTAGGGCTTCTGTGTGTATTAGGGTATGATTAATTTGAGGTTAACGGTTGATCTAAGACAAGTTGAATCTCATCTATTCCAACATGTTAAATTTCTATCTATGTACTTCCAAATGGTTCTGTTTTCTTTTCCTTATTCTTTTCTGTAAGGTTTGTTTGGTTCAAGAATTTCAAGAGTAAGAGGAGAGTGTTGTTTTTTTTATCATACTGATATATTTCTATTAGTTAGCTTTAAACTAGATTTAACTGTATTAAGTCAGATCATTTTTTATCTCCACTTTAATTCTGACCAGCTAAATGCAGAAAATATATTACATATAAATATCACCCCTCCCCTCTGATATCCTCGAAACCAAACAAGCCCTTGTTTTTTACAAAATTAAACCTGTGAACAGGCTGCTAAGTTCCTCACTCTTTCTGTTTTGCAATTCTCTTTTCGCAGTAGTGTGTAATTGCTCTCATATTCTCTTCTGTATTTCACTATGTCACCATGTGGGCTTTTCACCTTTGGTTTTGTTTTTATTTTGTTGTACAGCATACTATGAGTACAAACTACCTTGCCGCTCGTTTTTTATTAGATTATTTTCTCAAGATTGTGAAAAGATGTTTTATTGTAAATTATTCATAAAGTTAGGTTCTTATGGTTTTTCATTTTCTTCTTATTTTCTATATGTATGCAGGTATGTTCTTAAGAAGATTCCATTGACAAAACAGACTGAGACGCTCAAGCGGGCTGCATATCAAGAGGTTTTGCAACAGCTTTCCAATTTACTGATATATTTATTTGCTGCTAAATACATCAACACCTTGTTGTATCTGTGCTTCCCCATTTTTTTTGTTATCATTAATTTCTCCATTTCCATAAACTTCTACTAAAATTGTATTCAACTTGATCTCGCATGGCTTACCTAAAATGTCCTTCATAGTTTCTTTATTATTGTGATAAAAACCGTCTAGGTGGTGTTTGAGACATTGACGATTTGTGCAACAATAATTTCTCTGTATGATAATACTGAGTTTTATTTAAAATTTACCAATTACCTAACTTGCACAGTCACTTTCACGCCGGTTAATTTCCTCGTTTCACTATGTGTTCTTCCCAGACATTTATGAGTTACTATTTCCCCTTCTCACTATGTGTTCTTCCAAGTCATATCCTGACTTGCTAGTCTGGAAGAATGGTATATTAAGAGAAAACTTTCCTAGGTTAAAGTCTTAAAGAGATTATTCACACAATGTGGTGGTCTTAAATTCTTAATATATTTTGCCTATTCATTTATGAATTTATTATTCTGCAGATGAGTTTGAATGCTAAACTAAGCCACCCATACATTATGGAGTACAAAGATGCCTGGGTGGAAAAGGTATCTTATCCTTAATGCTGGAAAGTCACAATTCTTGAAACTCAGGGTGAACAACTATTATTTGGTCCTTGCACTATGTTACTGATAATGTCCTACATAACAGAAAAACAAACTGAAAGAGTAAAGTATTCTTTTTGATCTTTAGATCAGGGGCTATCATGTTTGAAGTCTTTGTTCAGAGACCAAAGTGATATATCGATCATTGTTCACGGATTTATTATATATTCTACTCTTGAGATTTTATACAAGTTGCTCAAGCTGCTTCTGAATTAACTAAAGTCTTTAATTTGCAATATATTTCAGGGAAATTATATATGCTTCATTACGAATTACTTTGAAGGCGGAGATATGTGAGTAGTTATTGCACTTCTGGGATCTGGACAATATTTTATTTACCTTTACTGAAGGATCATTCCAAGAGAAGCATATTCACAAACCATCACTTGGAACAGAACTTGCTTGTGACTCCACAGCTTCAATATTTGATTTCACAACATACTTTGAATGAAATGATGTATGGATTAAGGTTTATTTCTTATACTTACCTGTTATTTTTTTATTGTCTAGGGCAGAGATTTTAAGAAAATCCAGAGGAGCACTGTTCCCGGAAGAGGTAAATCAGATACAAGTTTTAACAAATGGATACCTCGAATTAGTAATAATTACTGATCATGATGTATTAATATTTTTTCTGTAGAAACTCTGCAAATGGCTGACTCAATTACTATTAGCTGTGGATTATCTGCATTCCAATAGAGTTCTCCATAGAGATCTGAAGGTATAAAAGAATCATACTCATTTTAATGTATAGGTCCTGAATATATAGGTAGCTGAATTTGTTGGTAGCTTATCTTTTATGAACTCCTAACTTTTAAGTTTTATAATATAATATGATGTAATATAATATGATCTTGTCTGATTGCAGTTGTCCAACATTTTCATTACAAAGGAAAGTGATGTCTGTCTTGGTAAGAAGATAACCAACTGCTTGAAAGCTGTTTAATTTTCTTTCCTATTAGACCAGTTTCTATTTGTAAAATAGACATAATTACACATTTATGACTTAAATAAATGTTGTTTAAAAATATCTTGGCTGTAAGATATTTGAAAAAACCTCTATAATGTAACATCTTGGCTGTAGGTGATTTTGGATTTGCAAAACTTATGGATGCAAAAGGGGTCACTTCCTCGGTATGAATTATCTGTCTAGTATCTACCTGAAAAATAGTTGTTGCAAACTTCTTAAACCTTTTCCCATTTAACAGAATGCAAGGACAAATTAGGCAAGTCCATATGTCATCAGTTCATATTGTTTCTTTTTTCTCTAATTATGGCTTCCTTTCAGTTTTTCTATAAATTCTTTTCTCATCCACCATTTCATTAAATTGATATATTCAAGGAGTAAAGTTGCGCAACGGAGTTGCTTTTTAACTAGTTTCATTATACATCATCTGTATAGTTTTTAATAGTCGATAAGTTAATGAATAATATAAATTGGTATGATGAAGGAAAATGGATATATCTAATAACATTTGCAAGAATAGCAGAGGAAATTGATGCAGACCATAGTGAACAAGTCAAAATAATTTTTAAAGAAAGACAGCAATGGACTTAAAAGAACATATACATGAACTATCAGAACCATCTTCACTGATTAGTCAACAATATGATCACAATGATATTGGAATAAGTGTAATGCTCCACTGCTTCATTTAGGGTCTGTGCAGATAAAGACCCTACAGGGGTTTAGAAGGGTATGGACGGGAAGGCTTAGTCATCTTGATATATAATTGGTATTTTTGGAAATTGAAAAGAATAACATAAAATGTGATCATATAACATCTCAATCACCTTAGATTCATTTTTAGAACTTTTATTTACCAATATATTGACTAAGCCCTTCATAGCCTTCCCGCCTGAAGCCCTGAAAAACCAACTCCCAAATTCTTGTCTTTCTTTTTTCCGAATTATATGACTTTCTTTCTCACCTGAAAAAACAGGTCATTGGTACTCCAAACTACATATGCCCTGAGCTCCTCTCTGAGAAGCCATATGGCTATAAATCTGATATTTGGTCACTGGGTGAGAAACAGAACAAGGAACACTTTGTTATTAATCAGATTTGGTCATTAACATAGGGATTACGCCGCCTTTTTATTTCATTGTAGGCTGCTGCATGTTTGAGATTGCTGGCCATCAACCACCATTTAGAGCTTCAGTATGTATTCACTTAAAGCTATTAAACAGTTTACCCTTGTCAAGAGTTGATTGTTTTTGCTTTATTTTAAAATGTGGAGATAGAAATTAATCAGAACTGAATTTGGACAGGACATGGCAACCCTCATCAATAAGATAAACAGGGGCACTTTATCACCACTTCCTATTATATACTCTTCCACTTTGTAAGTTTCTCTTATTCATTAGAAGATGAGACCTTCAATGCTGCAGGCACCAAGCACTCGGTGCCTCTATCCATTAGAACATTGTCACTTGTGCATTTTGTCCAACACTTAAACAGGTCAGGGGCCATGTAAACAATTCATGGGCCCACTGGGTACACAAATGGCAGTGCTCGGGCTCTAGTGGTTGAAGGACCAGTACAGCCCTCTCTAAAGAGCATTAAACCTCACAAGTTCTATCAAAGAGTGAGGGTGGTACAACACTTGCGAGTTTTATTCTTTCTGTTAGAATCTCACGTAGGAAAACTAATGCTGGGTCGATAAGACCTTGGACTGAAGTATCTAATAGATTGAATTTAATTTTGTATCCAAGTGTTTCATATTTCTTATGACTCAATTGAGTGACCATTCCTTCTTCTGACCTCGACCCAATCCTGAATTCTCTCATGGTACCATAGCACTTACGGACCCATTTTATTTGTCTAGTTGCCCATCTGGTATTCATCTTTTAAAATCCCACATCAGAAATTTCAATAGAGGATGATGAGTTAATAAGACCTTGGGTTAAACTAGTTAATAGATTGGATTCAATCTGTTGACATGGTTCAGCCCAAGTGGCTTATGGCCTAGTTGAATCGCTCCAACTATTCCCAATTCTATCACTTTCATATCCAGCCAATGTGCATGTGACACACTAAAACTCTTTGACACACTCTCCTCTTTTACGATTAACGCTATGGGTTCTATCATTGCAGGAAACAGATAATAAAAACCATGCTAAGGAAGTGTCCAGACCACCGACCAACAGTAAGTTCAAGATATATGGTTAGGTATATAAATACAATACTCCCTCCATCCCATCAAACTTTACCAGTTACGGTTTTAATATTGAAACTTTAGATATTTAGAAACTACACTAAGGTTTGTTTCTTATTTAAGCGCATAAACCGAATTCAAATTTGATTGAAAATTGATACTCAAAATAAGAGAATAGAAAGGAATTGCCTTGATGACATGCAAAGTAGACTAGGAAGGTTTAGTGGGATGGAGAGTAATAATTCAAATTTTTTCTTACTTATGTGTTGCTAATATTTTAGGCCGCGGAATTACTGAGACATCAACATTTGCAACCTTTTCTTCTTCGATGCCAAAACCTTCCCTCGGTGTTTCTCCCTGTGAAGTCTCCTAACAGCGCAAAGGAGAAAACAGGGAAGGCTTCTCCTAGCAACTCTACTAGCAGTGGCAATGACACCAAACACAGACGACTAAGGTTCAAAGATAGCATGCCAGTTTTCCCGGTCGATCAAAGTCCAGATACCCAACCAAGCAGCAGCAGATCACGAAAAAATGTTGACCTTATCATAGAAGCCGAACTCGAGACTAGGCGGATTGACCAAAAAACCCGTTCTCCTAAAATCTCTGAATGTAGTGATGAAGAAAGCTTAAGTACACCAATGTCATCTGCTTCAGTCCTCCCACCAAACTTGAACCAGCATGAAGTAGCAAATGAAGATTCTCATCAGCTCGTGCAGAGAGATGGTGGCGGGGTAGAAGAGACAGAATTTGATGAGAAGACACGGAGGAGGAATTCATTGCTGAGTAAACTGACTGCATTGGCTGAGAGCAAAGATGAGTGGGGAAATCCAACCAAACAGAGAGCCGATGCATTGGAGTCTCTTCTTGAGCTATGTGCGCAGCTGATCAAGCAGGAGAAGCTTGATGAGCTCTATGGTGTGCTCAAACCATTTGGAGATGACGGGGTTTCGTCAAGGGAAACAGCAATCTGGTTGACTAAAACCCTCATGAGTTCTCAAAAGTTCCCCAAGGGGTCCTGATTCTGCTCCACTTTTGTAATTTGTATAATGTAGATTTTAGTTTCTTCTTAAAATGGTTTGACCTTTACTAATTTTTTATGGAGGGTTTAATTATATAAAGTGTGAAGGACTGGATAATGTGAAATTGTATTTCTAGGGTATTTTTGTTTTTGTGTTTGTGAGGGCCATGTAAATCAGGAAATATGTGAACTAAGTTATTTACAAGGTATGGTTTGGATTGCGTCATGTTGAGTAGTTATTGTTGTGAGACTGATAAATTCTTTTCTGCTTTCGATGAATGCAAGTAAAGAGAGACTAGTCAAATCGATCTTTTCGACTATGGCCATCACAGTCCTTTGATCCAACGCAACACCTCCCGGATGCCTATGGCTTTTGCTAAACAGTCCTTTGATCCAACGCAACACCTCCCGGATGCCTATGGCTTTTGCTAAACTTGCTGTCCACCTGACTGTAGCCGACTGTCATCCTCCTTGGATGAAGTGTCCATCGGAGTTTCTTGCTATCCAGCCCCAAGCACACTTGTTTCAACCACTATTTGTTGCAGCATTTATGTTAACTTTCACTGTATCATCCATTGGCCTCTTCCATTTGCACTTGCCCCATCTGGTCTCTGAAATCACTTTAGTCTCTTGTTGCTGCTGCACATTCCTCCAGCCGTGCATCAATGAAGCCTATTCATTTAGTCGCACCACTATAACATGCGTTTTACTTTTACGTATACGGCATTGCATGTTTCCTGCCCTTGCAAAAGAAAACAAGTTACTTAAGTTATCTAAAACAAAGCTGAAAACCAGTTTTGTGTCATTTATTATAATTGAGATATTCTAGAATATGGTCTACTAACCTCTCAAATTCCTATTATCTTTCACCTCAGTAAAGGCCTTAACTCCTTAAGAATGAGCGACTTTCAAATGATTGCCTCATGCCAGAATCTACTTCTTTCCCTTCAAAGATTTTCACTATCAATTTCTTATATTGTTAGCCTTAAATATTACTCTCTTGGTTTTATAAAAGTTGGTCAAATTTAGTTTTCACGTGGAAAAGAATAATAAAAAATGATGTTATTGAGATTTGTATAGAGGTGTGAAAATAATATGAATGCAAACTCATTACTTTAAGAGGAAGTGTCAATGTATATCCGAGTATTCGAGTAACTAAATTAGAAAAGTTGGTAATGTTTTGTGAGACAGAGAAATACTTTACTTAACAACAAATATGTTAGAGACATAAGTATGGCCTCCGACTACCTAGCAAGAAAGAGGTCATTAGCTAAAGCTTCACCATTACGACAAAACTAAGGATGTTTTTATCTGGACCAAAATATTCTAGTATGATTTGTTCTGTTTAAGTTTTGTTTTATCAAAACTAGCAAGTTTGAGCTAGTTTGAGCTATGTCTATTTAGACTATTTACAACTGTCAAAATTTGTGTGATATGTTTAAATATGATTAGTTCTTAGTTGAGATTGATACCAACTTATAATTCAGTTTCTTCGTGCAAAAACACCATCATGAAGTGCTATTTTCTTTTTGACCAGATTTGCAATTATCACTCCGAATATCACCCACTTTAAGCTTTACTTTTGTACAAATATACACCCATATCTCTTGTAGTAAACTAGTAATGGTTGAATAACGTAAGTCGAATATTAGATTTCTTTAAATTATTCCTTCACAGTTTTAAATATAATATTTTCATGTATTATATATCATTTTTTCATAATTTTTTTTCCAATTGCATGATCATTTGGCAAAATTTCAACATATATTAGGAAAATTGGATTAGCATGTGCTGGTCGTGATATAAATTGATAAAAAAAATTCAAAAATGGCTTCACTAGATTGAAAGGATCTATCTTTAGTCTTTACTACTATAATCACTATACATAAGAAGTCACATGATTCACATATTGGTAATAAACTATATTTATTTTAATTATAAATATGTATTTGTTTCATTTTATTATGCTCTTAATCACATTTTTATTAACTCTAAGAGATGTAGTAGCTGACTCTGGCTTTTTCTCTGCTTTTTCCGCCTCAACAACGTTGAAGGACGGGAAGAGCGTCATTTGCAATGTTTTCCTTTGCTTTGACGTTTTATAGTTTGTTTCTCTCAGTTCGCAGGTCGGAGGGGAATAACTCTTCACAGTACGAAGTTTATATGTAAGAGAAGAAGTGACATGTACACTCCTATGAGAAACTAGGGTTCTACTCCTTATGTCAATTTTGAAAGTCATTCTATGAGAGATTTCTTCTAATATTAATGATACAAGTGCTTCTATGGTGTTATGATATTGTTCAAATGCTATTGATTACATTCATCAAGTTTTAGATAAATACGATAGTATTTCTTAAATCCCTTTATACTTCTTAATCCATCTATGACGACACCGTTGATCCGCCCTCCTCCATCTATGAGAGTAGTACAATTTTTTATTATCAAAATATTAAGTACAAAGACTAAAATAAATTTCATTGATTTTCAGATAGTCGAGAAAGATTTGCAGGTCCAATGGAATCAGGTTAAGACACAACATAACTGAAAACGAATGGTTTGTTGCTTTATATAAGTAGTATTTCCTTCCGTTGTTTTATTTATTTATTTATTTATTTATTTATTTATTTATTTATTTATTTATTTATTTATTTATTTATTTATTTATTTATTTATTTATTTATTTATTTATTTATTTATTTATTTATTTATTTATTTATTTATTTATTTATTTATTTATTTATTTATTTATTTATTTATTTATTTATTTATTTATTTATTTATTTATTTATTTATTTATTTATTTATTTATTTATTTATTTATTTATTTATTTATTTATTTATTTATTTATTTATTTATTTATTTATTTATTTATTTATTTATTTATAGTTTTGCTTATTTCGGTGCTCCAAATTACTTTTAGTTATTCATTTTGGTTTTGGTAGAATGGTAAGTGTTTCAAGTCACGTTAGAAACATGAAGACTTATATGATGATATAAATCTTCATTTATCCATTACATGGTTAACGACTTCTGCAACTCTTTTGAGTGTGATAGAGTCAAAGTCTGATATTCGGACTTATGCCTGGGGTTGGTACGATTTTGTGTCAATCGTAATGTTGTTTGGTTTATTAGTTTTAGTATAAATTATTTCTATTAAAAAGTACTTTTTTTTTTAAAAATATTGAGGGCATTTAAGGAAAGATTCCATAAATTTAGTTGCCTGCTTAAGGCCTTCTTGACATGGTGAGAAATTAGCCACAAACTCCGCCAACTTTTCATGAGTTGCCAAACATAATCCTATGTATAAACACAAAAAATAAATAAATGCATACAAATTTCACACACAAGCATAGAAAGGTTTCGAAGGAAGAAACAACCACATATATTCTGATATACACACTTCATTATGGATACAGAAAAGGCTGGGAATGGCATGAGAGTGTTGATGTTCCCATGGTTGGCTGTGGGACACATCACACCATTCTTTGAGTTAGCCAAGAAACTGTCTGATAGAGGCTTCCTCATGATCCACCTATGTTCCACCCCCATCAACCTTAGTTTCATAAAAAACAAGATACCCCAAAAATACTCTTCTTCAATCCAGTTAGTGGAACTTTACTTGCCAGAATTACCAGAACTCCCTCCTCACTACCACACCACCAATGGCCTACCACACCATCTCAACTCCACCCTCCATAAAGCCCTCAAAATGGCCGAACCCACTTTCTCCAACATCATGGGAACCATAAAACCACACTTGGTGATCTATGATGTTCAGCAGCCCTGGGCAGCATTAGTAGCCAAGTCACACAATGTCTCGGCCGTCCAATTCATCACTTCAAGTTCTGCCATGTGCTCCTACGCTTTCCACGTGTACTTCCGGAAGAATGCTGAGTTCCCTTTTTCAGAACTCTCTCTAAGAAAATACGACAGAGAGAGATTCCAGAAGATGGTAGACAAAAGTAGCAGCAATAGCATTAGCAGTAGTGATATCGATAGAGAAGATAAAATCACGATTTTAATGAGTACCTCAAGAGAAATAGAGGGGAACAAGTATTTAGATTACATGAGTAAATTAGCAGGTTGCAAGATTTTAACACTCGGCACACTAGTTCAGGAGCATCATCAAGATGAAGAGCATTTCGAGCCGTTGATGGAATGGTTAGGAACGAAAGAGGAGAAGTCGACAGTGTTTGTTTCCTTTGGCAGTGAGTGTTTTCTGTCGGATCGTGACATGCACGAGCTAGCCACGGGATTAGAGAAAAGTAAAGTTAACTTCATATGGGTCGTTAAGTTTCCAAAAAGTGTTAATGAAACAACGGCAATGACAACGATGACAACGACACAAGAGAATCTTCTTCAAAAGTCACTGCCAATCGGTTTTCTTGAGAGAGTTGGAGATAGAGGGAGAATGATGGAAGGATGGGCCCCACAACACAGAATTTTATTGCACCCTAGCATTGGAGGGTTCATGAGCCACTGCGGGTGGAACTCTACCGTGGAGAGCATTGAATGTGGCGTTCCAATCATAGCGATGCCCATGCAATTTGACCAGCCTCTAAATGCTAAGTTGATTGCGAGTCTTGGTGTGGGCATTGAGGTTTTGAGGGATGACGCTGGAAAGTTTCACAGCCAAGATGTGGCTCGAGTTTGTGATGAAATTGTTAACGGAAAATTGGGAGAAAGTATACAGAAAAATGTGAAAGTAATGAGTGAGAATGTGAGGCTCAATAGTATGAAAGAGATGGACCAAGCTGCTACATGGCTAGAGCGCATATGTTATCCGATGTTCTAAAAGGTGCTAGACGCTAGTCGGGCACCTAGCGCTAAGGCGCCTAAGCGGTGGTCTAGGCGGGACTAGCCAAAGACATAAAAATTATAGTTTTATCAATATTTTTTCATGAATACAATTAGTAATGTTATGTTTTTGTGTGTAAAAAGTAAACACATACACATTAACATGCATGAATGATAGAGTTGTCACATTTAATAATATATTACTCCCTCCGTCCCTAATAACTTTGCCAAGTTTGACCGGCACGGAAATTAATAAAGTAAAAACTGTGTGGTTGAGGTTTGTGCAGAGGAGAGAGAATTAACTGGAACCACAAATTCTTTACTTAAATGGGAAAGTGGCAAAGTTATTGGAACATCTAAAAATGGAAAGTTGGCAAAGTTATAAGGGACGGAGGGAGTATTAAATAATACATAGCACTTAAGATTATATGTTAACACATGTATAATACGTAGTATTTATCTTTATCTACAACTAGTAGCTTTCTTCATATGTGTAGTTAAAATTAAATGTACATACATCTCTTAGACTACTACAATAAGAAAGCAAAGTAAAATGTTCGATGAATAATCTAGCGCCTACGCGGTCGATTAAGTACTCTAGGCGGGGAACTATGTGCCATAGGCGGGGAACTAGGCACCAAATCAAGTAGTTGGAGCGTTTAGACTAAAACCGGAGCGCCTAGACTAAAACCGGGGCGCTCGGCAACCGTCTAGCGCCTAGTCAGGGACTAGTCGAGTGCCTAGAACGATTTTTAGGACAACGATATCATCCACAGCTAGTCCTTTGGTTAATTATACTCCGATTTAAATTTTATGTGTATTTCATTTGGGTTCCTCTACTAGGCAAATTCTCCAATAATATTCTGACATAATAAAAACTTATTAAAAGGTAGTAGACAGCACAAAATTAGTACACCGAAATGCAAGAGCAATGACACAAGATTTTACGCGAAAAAACCCCTCCAGCAGGGCAGAGCTATGCTTAGGGGTAAGGAGGCCGTAAGGGGCCTTGTCCTCCAACATTTTAATTTTTTTGTACTACTAGTAAGGCTTTTATACTAGAAAAAAATTATTTTAAAAATCGATAAAAACAAAAATTATTTTAGAAATCGATAAAAACAATAAATATTTTAGAGTAGCAAGTGTTGATAAGGCAATTCGAAGAGGGTGAGATCTGCGTTGGTTATTGGGAAAAGGGGCAAATAAGCCTTCGAACTAACAAAAAAGTGCAAATCAGAGCTAAGGCGGCTAGGATTGCGTTTTTCTACTCCATCTATTGGATTTGGAGGACCCGAAATGCTGTGTGTTTTGATGGACTTATCCCGAAGGAAGATGATGTTTTTGTTAGGATCCAATACATTGTTTATAAGATTCTGTATAGCATTTATCCCCGTGAACTTGTAAACTTTTGAGTTTGTGCTTGACCATCACTTTGTTTGGTGTTGGCCTTAGCTTTTGCTTTTTTTTAGGTTGGCCGGGGAGAGGGTGTCTTTTTTGGATAACCTGCTTTTTTGTTTCCCTTTTGCTTATACATTCTGAACCTTTGTTTTTTTGGATGATTTTTTTATAATATACGGAATACTTACAATTCATGCCAAAAAAAAGTGCCAATCACCCCTTATATAGGAGGTTCTGTCCGACCGTCGCCATTTGGGGCGGCTCCCGGTGTAATTTTTTGATGAAATATTTTGAGTATCTTCTTCATTTAGTCTAGTTTATCCATACCAAATTTCAGCTAAAACTAAAACAGAGAAGGCAATCAAATGATTTTCTTAAATATACTGCGTTGTTTAACTGCGTAGTTATCTTCAAAAATTCATTTGACTGCCTTCCTGATCGACGTTTTATCTGAAATTTTGTATGGGTAAACTAGACTTAATGAAGAAGATGCTCAAAACATTTCATCAAAAAATTTCACCGGGAACCTCCCCAAATGACGACGGCCGGACAAAACCTCCTATATAAGAGGGGATTTGCACTTTTTGGGTTAGTTCAAGGGCTTATTTGCCCCTTTTCCCTTGGTTATTTGGAAATGCTGCAAATAATTGGACAGTTTGGTGAGTTGGGCAGAGCTGGATCGGTTATCATTGGTTTGGCTTCGTCTTGGGAATTCGTTATATCCTCCGCCGCTGCCGCCGCCGGCTTCTTCAAGGATGAGGGCCTCGTAGACGGCTACGTCGAGATGAAAAGAGATGACACCATTGGCGGAATCTCCCACTCCTGACCAGGAAAATGATGATAAGTTGGTTCCTTATCCCGGCCATAAGATTGGGATGCAGAGGATGAATAATAAGCAGTGTTTTAAATAGCCGTAACAGCAGCGGTAGCGGTCATCTCAGTAGCGGTCTGTAGTCGCATGTAGCGGTTGCAGCGGCGTGAAATATTTTCAAATGCGCAAAACATATATTTAATGGGTGTTAAAATTAATATTTAGCGGGTGGCGCAGCAGATTTTTCTCGTGATTCGGAAATCACATCGCTATAGCGGGTCGTAGCGGTCTGCTATTTCAAACACTGATTGGGTTTGGGTTTGGAATTCGTTAATTCAATTATCTATGATGATTGTGATTAGTGTTATGTGTGTGTATTTATCCGGAGTATAACGTAGGGATAATAAAGGAATGCAATAAATTCCCAGCATTTATACGACTCCTCAAAATTGGACTATAGTTTTTGTTCCCGGTTCCTAGATTGTTCCCACCCCGTAAACCACAAAGCTATTAAAGCTTTTATAAACCGGCTTCTAACATGGTTGTTTGCAATGTCTACTACCAATAGTGTGATTAACTTCTACTATTATGTTGATGCTTTGATAACCTTCTTCTTAGCCTCCAAGTCTTTAAATAAATATTTCATGATATCAATTTGAACAATTGGAGGCCGAGAAGAAGGTTATGATGGTTATTTGTACATAATTGACCTTTTTTCTTTTTATATTTGTACATGATATCAATTTGGGAGTAAAGATATCATTTTTTATATTTATATTTTGCTAGTAACAACTACAAATATCAATTTTACACTCTCACGTAGTCACAATATATGGGACATAGAAGCATATATGGTTGAGTATTGATCTATGGTTCCCTTTTTTAACCGTCTAATATTTCTTGAGGGAGCTTCATCCCTAGTTTCAAATGTAGGAAACAAAGTGAAATCGTGTATACAAGTTTAGAATTGTTGGGTTGACAATATGCATCTTGAGAGTTGAGATTCAGCATACACATTGTCTTCTATATCTAAGCGTGACTGTTCTCTTACATTCATGGGATGAGAAACTATGGAATTAAATTGGGAAAAAGACATAGGTAGGACTAAAACATACGGACGGAAAGTAAATAGGACTCGGAGTTTATTAACTCGTTACTCGTATATAGGACTAAATTTCAAGTTAATGGACAAATATACCGCGAAACAAAAATTGGCTACAGAACAACTCCGATAGAGCTGTCAAACGGGCCAACCCGACCCAACCCGACCTGACCCGTGACGGGTTAGGCTTTATGTGGGTTGGGTCGGGCCAACCCGTTTAATGACGGGTCAGGATTTCTACAATCCTAACCCAACCCACCTGACCCGTGACGGGTTAGGCTTTATGTGGGTTGGGTCGGGCCAACCCGTTTAATGACGGGTCAGGATTTCTACAATCCTAACCCAACCCACCTAACCCGTGGGTTAAACGGGTTGGCCCGCGAGCCAATGTAAAAAACGAAGTATATAAGAAGAAAATAAAATTAATTGCCCGGAAGTACTTATTTATATTAGTAAGTAGTAACAAAAGAAATATAAGAAATTAAAATACTAAAAATTCAATACTTGTTAAGTTAAATTAAAAAATATCAAATACTAGTTATGCGAGAATTTGAAAACTATAAAAGGGTATGTGACAAAAATACTCATTGTATAAAAATAAAGATCTACATAAACCTTTTGATTAATTATTGGTAATTAATGACTACTAATTGTTAAATATTGTATTAAACTTCACATAAAATATATGTTTCAAAATTTTATTTGAATAATTATTATAGAAATAAATACTATTTTGCCATGGTTATAATTTTTAATTGTAATTATAATAATATTGGTAGTAAAAGAACAATATTTACGATAAAAAAATTCAAAACTATGTTTCTATATTTTGGGCCGCGGGCCAATCCGCGCGCAACCTGGTGGGTCAACCCACTTAAACCCGCAACCCGCATGGGTTGACCCGCGAAACCCGCGAACTAAATGGGTCAAAATTTTTCAACCCTAACCCACCAATAAATGGGTTTAAACGGGTCAGCCTGCGGATTTCGACCCATTTTGACCGCTCTAAGAGGACATCAACCCCTCAACCCCGGTGTTTATTGATTCCTACCTCTGATTTCAATTTTCAAGGACAGATTGTCGTCAGCGGTGCTATTGAAACCTACTTTTTCTATTTCGCGATAGGAAGCACAAGCTCCGACCTGAAGTTGCCAGTTGCACCATCTCCTTGACCCACGACACTCCCGCCGTGTTCTTAGCCGCAGCCGCCATCCTCTCCGACCCTAATCGGAGCTTCCACTCCCGGAACACTCCCTTCCGATCCAGAACACCCTATTTCCCATACATTCGCAGTGCAGATCTGCTATTCGTCTTTTTTTATGGGTTGTTCTTTTTTTTTTTTACGTCTTCCGTAGCTTTTTGTTGTTATTGTTTTACTTTTCATTTTTTGTTTTATTTTATTTTGCAGATGCATTTAATGGTAATAATTTTATGGGTTCATCATTTATTTTGGAAAATATGTTTGTAGTTGATAATAGATTTATACATACGGAATATTAATAATGTCTTCCCCCTAAAACAACAAATTGCTATGATCTGCTTGCTTGGTAGGAGCTTTTCCCTTTAAGCACACGACCTTTATGCGATTTGGATGAATGATTTAGTATGAAATAATGGAATTATGGGAATCGGTTGCTTTAAGGGAACCGATTGAAACCTATTAAAAATATTTTACATTTCATTATCATAATATTTCCTATAAAATAAAGTTGTTAATAGCGTTAGTCATATATTATTGAAAAGGAATCACTCTTAAAAATATACTCCGTATGTAGTATTATAATGTCATCATTTGAAAATAATGACAACTAGTATTCCATAAAATAATTGGTATGACAATGTTATCCATATGTAGTATTCCATGAAATGTAAATAATGTCATCATATATTATAAATATTATAAACGATGGTATGTAAAAGTAATTACACCTTATACTTCTATTTTATCAGACGAATAAGAGAAACCACAAATACAAAGTAA